AACCAGTAAACCAGGAAGAAATGGATAAATTCCTAGACACCTGTATTCTACCAAGACTAAACCAGGAGGAAGTTGAAACCCGGAATAGACCAATAACAAGGGCTGAAGTAGAGGCAGCAATCAATAGCCTACCAATCAAAAAAAGTCCAGGTCCAGAGGGGTGCACAGCTGAATTCTACCAGATGTACAAAGAGGAGCTGGTTCCATTCCTTCTGAAACTGTATCAAACAATACAAAAGGAGGGAATCCTCCCTAACTCATTTTATGAGACCAACAGCATCCTGATACCAAAACCGGGCAGAGACTCAACTAAAAAAGAAAACTTCAGGCCAATATCCATGATGAACATCGACACAAAAATCTTCAATAAAATACTGGCAAACAGATTGCAACAGCACATAAAAAAGCTTCTCCATCATGACCAAGTAGGCTTTGTCCCAGGGATGCAAGGTTGGTTCAACATATGCAAATCCATAAATGTAATCCATGACATAAACGGAACCAAAGACAAAAACCACATGATCTCAATAGATGCAGAGAAGGTCTTTGATAAAATTCAACAGCCCTTCATGCTAAAAACTCAATAAACTAGGTATTGACGGTAGGTATCATAAAATGATAAAAGCTACATATGACAAACCTACAGCCAATATCATACTGAACAGGCAAAAGCTGGAAGAATTCCCTTTGAAATCAGGTATTAGATGAGGATGCCCTCTCTCACCACTCCTATTCAACACAGTATTGGACGTTCTAGCCAGAGCAATCAGGCAAGAAAAAGAAATAAAGGGTATTCAAATAGGAAAGAAGGAAGTCAAATTGTCTCTATTTTGCAGATGACATGATTGTATATCTAAAAGACCCCATCGTCTGAGCCCAAAAGCTCCTGAAACTGATAAGCAACTTCAGCAAAGTCTCAGGATACAAAATCAATGTGCAGAAATCACAAGCATTTCTATATACCAATAACAGACAAACAGAGAGCCAATTCAAGAGTGAACTCCCATTCACAATTGCTACAAAGAGAATAAAATACCTAGGAATACAACTAACAAAGGATGTAAAGGACCTCTTCAAGGAGAACTGCAAACTACTCCTCAAAGAAATAAGAGAGGACACAAATGGATGGAGAAACATTCCATGCTCATGGTTAGGAAGAATCAGTATCATGAAAATGGCCATACTGCCCAAAGTAAACTACAGATTCAATGCTATCCCCATCAAGCTACCAATGACCTTCTTCACAGAACTGTAAAAAACCACTTTAAACTTCATATGGAATCACAAAAGACCCTGCATAACCAAGACAATCCTAAGCAAAAAGAACAAAGCTGGAGGCATCACACTGCTGGACTTCAAACTATACTACAAGGTTACAGTAATCAAAACAGCATGGTACTAGTACCAAAACAGACACATAGACCAATGGAACAGAACAGACACCCCAGAAGAAACACCACACACCTGCAACCATCTGATCTTTGACAAATCTGGCAAAAACAAGCAATGGGGAAAAGACTCCCTGTTTAATAAATGGTACTGGGAAAACTGGTTAGCAGTGTGTAGAAAGTAGAAACTAGACCCCTAACTGTCACCTTACACTAAAATTAACTGCAGATGGATCAAAGATTTAAACATAAAACCTAACACCATAAAAACACTAGAAGAATATGTAGGCAAAACCATCCAGGACATAGACATAGGCAAGGACTTAATGACTAAAACACCAAAAGCAATGGCAATAAAAGCCAAGATAGACAAATGGGATCCAGTTAAACTCCAGAGCTTCTGTACAGCAAAAGAAACCATCATTAGAGCAAATTGGCAACCAACAGAATGGGAAAAAATTTTTTGCAATCTACCCATCTGTCAAAGTGCTAATATCCAGAATCTACAAGGAATTAAAACAGATATACAAGAAAAAAACAAACAACCCTATTCAAAATTGGGCGAAGGATATGAACAGACACTTTTCAAAAGAGGACATATATGAGGCCAACAAACATGAAAAAATGCTCATCATCACTGGTTATTAGAGAAATGCAAATCAAAACCACACTGAGATACTGTCTCACGCCGGTTAGAATGGTAATCATTAAAACATCTGGAGACAGCAGATGCTGGAGGGAATGTGGAGAAATAGGATCACTCTTACACAGTTGGTGGGAGTGTAAATTAGTTCAACCATTGTGGAAGACAGTGTGGCAATTTCTCAAGGTTCCAGAAACAGAAATTCCATTTGACCCAGCAATCCCATTACATACCCAAAGAACTATAAATCATTCTACTGTAAAGACAAATGCACCTATATATTCATTGCAGCCCTGTGTACAATAGCAAAGACCTGGAACCAACCCAAATGCCCATCAATGATAGACTGGACAAAGAAAATGTGGTGCATATGTGCCATGGAATACTACGCAGCCATAAAAAACAATGAGTTTGTGTCCTTTGTAGGGACTTGGGTGAATCTGGAAACCCTCATTCTCAGCAAACTGACAGAAGAACAGAAAGCCAAACACCGTATGTTCTCACTCATAGGTGGGTGTTGAACAAGAGAACACATGGACTCAAGGAGAGGAGCATCACACACTGGGGGCAATTGGGTGGGTAGGGGAGAGACGGTGGGGGGTGGGGAGAACATGGAGAGAAATGCCAGATATAGTATGCACCTAAAGTAAAATAAGTAAATTTAAGAAAAAAAAAAACGATCTTAACATTGAGTATGAATGATAGGAAATTTCAGCTACTACTTAGATTGTGATTAAGATATCAGGTAATTAAATACTTTCTATATTTTAATTTTCTTGTTTCAAAATCTTTGAGCTAAATGTGTTAATCCAGTGTGTTTGGTTTTATAAGAAAGTTATAGCCCTAACAATATTGGCTTTGGATAGTCAGTTTAATTTACAAGTTGATAGTTTTTCAAGGTGTGTTAACCTCAAGAATTGGTCTGTGCATCTCAGGGAATTAGCAAGAAAGCAGCAAATTATACTACACAGCCAGTAAATTCCATTGGTATGGAGCTGTTTGCATCTGAGAATCTAAAGTTCCATCCCTTTTCTAACAGCACGATCAGTTGGAAGGTGGAAAATTTGGCCTTCACTTTCACCAGGGATGCAGCTACCGCTGTATGAGAAGTTGGACTATCTCTTGAACAGAAAGAGCAGAGTGTCTTAAGATCCTGCATGTTTACATCAACATAGCCCTAGAGTGGTCTGTTTCCGTCATGTACCCACTCAGCATTTCCAGAGTGTGCTTCTATGTGAAACACATGGTCAGGTACAGGGAAACTGAGATGTACGTAACACAAGCTTCTTCCTACAACCAACTTTCAATTACAAAAACCTAAAAACTTGAAACTAAGGCTGGCTGAGAAATGCTCATATGGGTGCTATAGGAGCTAGAAGAAGAGCTTCTGAGTTGGGCCTGGTCAAGGAGGTCTTCCCTTGAGAAAGAGCCAGAAAAAGCTATTAGAGACATGAAATCACAGAGAGATGTGTGAGCAGGGCATGCAACAAGGAGTGGAAAGAGATGACCCAAAATGGATGTCTGCTGCTTTTTCATGTATCATTTTCATGTGTTATTTCACATTAGTTCCAAATTTGAATAAAAGTACGCTGCTATTTAAATATTGTAAAGGTACCTTGTTAAGTTATTCTGCTTGTAGGATACTCTAGAGTCTACACAATCCTTAGACACTTGCTCAGTGTAAAACAGTTCATTGTATTTTTTATGCTGATGTCCAGGTTTGTTGTAGAAAGTGGTCTATTTTAGGCTAAAGAGAAATTTAAACTCACTTCTCTAAAAAAGAACTTTGGAGATAAGCTCATATAAAACATTTTCTTAAACAGCTCCCACTGTTTCTATGATTTGATGCCCCATTGAGATCTCCACAGGAAGCTTCAAACACATCTTGGCTTACACTTTTTCAGACCAAGGTTACTTGCCTTCCAATGAGACTCACCATGTTTCAGTACTTAGGGAAAGCTCGTTTAGAGAAACAAGTAGAGAAGATTGCCTGAAGTTTATGCAGCCCCTCTTAGAAATTCCAGACATTTATCTTTCCTTGGATTAAGCCAGTACACCAAAAAGAGGAATTCTTAACTGACATCATCCTGACCCCTCGTGAAATAGAGTGAAGTGCTTACTGTCTTCTACCAGAGCCTCCAGCACCAGCCTCCTTTGGGTGGTGTAACACTCAGCCCTACAAAATTCCCTGTTGTAAAGCTAATGTCTTCACTCAGTCACTAAACACAGTGCCACCTTTACAAAGACCTATAGGAGAAATGGCTCCTTGGTCTCAGTGCCAGGAACAATTGTTCTCATCGGAGCAATGGGTTTGCTGTGATGATGCTACATGAATCACCTGCCTGATCTGTGCTACTAGGAAACTGAGAGACAGGGCAGCAGTCTTGCCTCCGGCACAGGTACCAACTCCTCAGCTTAGATTTGCGTTAACCCCACTTCCATCTTTATTTTGTAAGCTCTTATTTTTCTTCTCGTTTCATCTCCTACTTTAGGCTATTGAATTTTCTTAATTTTTGTAAGCTACTTAAATTCTTTAAGGAATAAATTTAGGGTATGAACACGTATTAAGTATCCTTAGTTACTATGTTTAGAGAACAAAACATAAATTATTAGTTTTCAGATAATGAATATACTCAGTATAGCTGACATTAAAACTGCTACTCTTGTGAATATGACTAAACTATACATTCTGTGTGGTCAGGGGCCTTGGCTAACTTGGTCACTTCTGTATCTCAAGTTGCTAGTGCTGTGCTTGGCATGTAGCAGATGCTCAGTAAATATTTCCTGAGCGATTTGACCAAAAGGTCTTTCAGTAACTGAAGCTTACCAATGGTGCAGTCTGTGGATGCTCAGAAGCAAAGTGAAGGCCTAATGCTCTGGTATTTTCTCCACCTTTTTTGGACATGGGTGCAGGTGTAACAAGGGACACCACTGACCCCTCTGATGCTCTCCTGTCTCTCTCTCTGCAGACTCACATTTCAAGACTCCCTCCTGGTGCGGTGGCAGGACAGTCCGTGGCAATTGAAGGTGGAGTGTGCCGCCTGGAGAGCCCAGTGAACTGACCCTTCAGGCTGAGTGTGAAGTGTCTGAGAGGCATTTCAGAACCTGAGCTTTTTGGGGTTTTTAATTGAAGTTGGCTGTTTTATCTTCCTTGTTTTATAATTCCTATTGCAACTTCGTGCACTGCTCGAGACACAAGTGCTGCTGTAGTTAGCGCTTAGTGACACACGGGCCTTTGGCGGGTGAGCGGGACTGTGTGTGTGTGTGTGTGTGTGTGTGTGTGTGTGCGTGCGTGTGTGCGCACGCGCGCACATGTGTGTATGTGTGCAGTATGTGTGTTCGCTTCTCCCTGGATGAAATAGAAACTCCTCATTATGTGACCAGGAATGGTTAAATCATCTTTACATAATGTATGCTTTAACTGTTTACAAGTAAAACCTAAAGTTGCAGGAAACATTTTTTATTTCATCAAGAGATACCAACTGTCACTGATGTAATGTGTCAGAACTGAAGAGTAAATCTACTTGTTTAAATGACTTGACAGTGGTAGCGCTTCATTTAATAACAGTAGTAAGTAATAAGGTGTTTTTATTTGTTAACCAGTTTAAGTGGATCCTGTGGTAACTTAAACTGTTGTTCTCATCCCTTATATGGGGCATTTTTCTTTAACAAAGAATGGTTTCAGTGAAACAACCTAGCGGAGAATTAATGTCAGAACCTTTTAAAATAATAGTCTGATACAGTTTGTACTTCTTTCATCAAGCTTTTCTAAGCTGAAATGTTGCATAACTTCGAGCAGTATGGGCTATATTATGAAAGAATATGTAAAGAGAACATACAGTAATGCACAGTCCTTAATTTGTGTATAATGGAATGTTATTTACAATATAGCACTGTAAATAAGAAAGCAAAGTTTATGGGAAAATTCAATATTATCTTTGTTTTTGTTTAAATATATTTTTAAGATAAAGGCACAAAAATAAAAGAAGCATATTACTGGGTATAGTATGTGACTGACTCCTCTTCTCAGACTAATAAATTATCTTTTGAATCCCTGATTGGAGAGCTGCCATTTATTTTGTTTGTAAAATGTTCTTCCAGAAATCACACCATTATCCATCTCACGGTCGTTCCAATTGTTCAAAGGCCAGTCTTATGCAGTAAAGAAGACACTGGTGAGATGGAAACGGACCTTGGTCCTTGATTGAATGGTCAATATGGAAGTCCCTAAAATTTCTGTTGCAATTTGATAAAAATAACAAAGAGTAGGAATAAGAACACTTTGCTTTGAAAAATTGTAGTGGCAGCAAAAAGCTCGATAGTTTCAGTTGATAAATTACTTCTAAATGTTATATTCAGGGATTCTGGAGCCACTTAAGAAAACCAAGACTTTCCTTTTGATTTTTTTTGTATGTAAGAGTGGTTATCAAGAAGATACTAAAGATAGACTCACTCGGGGGGAAGTTCCCTGCACCATGTAATCATGGCTCTGGGCACTAACTGATAAAGCCCAGATAAAATTATACACTTGACATCAATGTATGGCCAAATTATAAAGGAAAGACAACCAAATTGGAGTGGGTGTAAATATGAATAATTTGAGAGTTGCTGATTTATATTCCTGGTTCAGGCAATTACATTTGTCTTGCTGTGCTCTCATAGACAGGTTGGTGCCGTGGTATCTGTTTCTCATTCTTAATGAGGCTGAGAACTTAGTGAGAGGTGGGCTGGCTGGTGGGGAGCCTTTGGCTTCAAAAGCTTTCGAAGACCTGTTACCTGTTGGCAGAGATTTTTCAGGAACTGGATTGGATCACATAAAACTATCAGGACGCTTTGGAGTCTGAAAATCCTCTGACCAATTTCACCAGGAATGCCACTTCTTTCATCTCTTTTTGCCTTTTTTCCATTTGTATTTAAAAGTTTAAGACCCCTTTTATTAAGAGTTTTAAAACTGGCCAGTACAAAAGAGCACAGCTCCTCCAAGAACAGTTTGTCAAGACTTTACTGTTCAATTTTCTAAATATTTTTTCTTAATTTAAGGAATATTGTGAAGCCAAGAGGGGGAACGTAGTGATATTAAGAATCATGGAGGCAAAAATGTAACGGGTAATATAAGTTCCTTCCTTATAAGATCAGATATTAAAGATCAGCTACTGGAACCAGAGGATACTGAGAGATGTAAAATCAACTTCATTTCACACTAAAGTAGAAAAGGTACAAACAGATAAGAAAATAACCTCATTCTCTAGTCTGGCTGATATCACCAAGATTCTGAAGCTGTATTTTAAGGTGCCCACTTTTTAACATGGATGCTTTTATCTGTGTGCCTATATTTGATTTCTTTGTAAGGCCTGAGTGTGGGATATCTGGTTCTCTTGAGTAGAATTAGGCCTGGTCTGGATTCCTCAAGGTTGTCACTGTGACCTAGCTCTGGATTTGGAAACAGGGTCATCTTCAGGGCTTGGTGAGGAGATAAGAGCCTGTGCTTTTGCTTAAGGCACCTGGAGCACCTGCGCTGATTGGGCTGTCTTGTCAGCCCTGCCATTTTTCTCTCTGCCTTCAATATGTCTGCCGATGGCTGGCCCTGTTTTACCTTCTAATATTGACACTTATAAATGTGAACTTGATGTGGAGAAAAGAAAACACTTATACTCTGCTGTTGGGAATTTAAATTATGTCAGCCCTGTGGAAAGCAGTCTAGAGATTTCTCAAAGAACTTAAAATGGAACTACCATTCAACCCAACAATCCCATTACTAGGTATATACCTAAAGAAATAGAAGTCATTCTACTGTAAAGACACATGCATGCATATGTTCATTGCAGCACTATTCACAATAGCAAAGACATGAAATCAACCTAGATGCCCATCAGCAATGAAAAAAAGAAAATTTGGGGATTAATCCAAGATGGCCATTTAGGAACAGCTCAGGATTGCAGCTCCCAGTGAAAGCGCAGAGAGTGAGTGGATGCCGCTTTTTTATTGCCGACAGACTAGGAAATTCCCAGGCGGAGGACCCCCACGGGTTGCCAGCGCGGCTGTTTCGGCCAGTGCAGCTGTGTCAGCCGGCACAGCTGCTTTGCCCTGCATGGCTGCTTTGTCAGTGTTCTGGCACAGCAGTTCTCCATACAAAATACACTGGTCCGGGTGCCCTTTTGGCTGGCGATTGGAGCCACGGGAAGTCGCCCATTCATCTGTTTAAAAAGGGGACTGAACAGGGAACCAGGACAGTAGACTCCAGGGCAAAAAAAAAGTGCCACAAATCTCAGTGCTGCTGTTTAAGCCAGCGCAGTGAGTGGCCGCACGGGAAAACACACAGATCCCGGTGCCTCTTCAACAGGCGACTGGAACACCAACTTTAAAAAAAAAAAAAAAAAAAAAAGCTCTGAGGCAGGGAGCCAGGCAATCAGGCTTGGCTGGTCCCACCCCCACAAAAGAACAGCAATCAGAAACTCTCTGGATTGAGAGTTTCACAGCAAGCGCAGCTGAACCTGGGACAGTCCAGCTCTGTGGGGGAGGGGCGTCCGCCATTACCAAGGCACTCCAAAACTAAGGAGGTAGTCAACCACTGCTGAGGCAGCCCGCCATTGCCAAGGCAACCCGCCATTGCTGAGGCAGCCCACCACTACAGAGAGACTCCGCCATAACAGAGGCGGGCCACCATTGCCAAGGCAGTTCTAACTACACCCATATAAACAGGACTGCAGGGAAGTTCACTCGGCAGCTCGGCGGAGCCCACAGCAGCTCAGAAAAGCCTCTACCGGCAGACAGTGACTAGGCTGCCTCCTTGCTGGGCAGGGCACGTCTGAAGGAAAAAAAAAAAAAAGGCAGCAGCACAACGGAAACTCATAAATAAAGCCCTAAATCCCTGGGACAGAGCACCTGGGAACAAAAAGCGGTTTATGAGTTCTGCTGCAGCAGACCTAAACGTACCTGCCCAGCAGCTCTGAATGAACAACAGAGCTCACAGCTCAGCATTTGAGCTCCTATAAAGAACAGACTGTCTCCTCAAGCAGCTCCCTGACCCCTGTATATCCAAAGAGCCACCTCATAAAGGAGAGATCAGACTGACACTTTGCGGGTATCCTTCTGGGACAAAGATATCGGAAGAAGAAAGCTGGTAGCAACCCTTACTGTTCTGCAGCTGCTGCAGGTGATCCCCAGGCAAGCAGGGCCTGGAGTGGACCTCAGCAGGCCCACAGCAGAGGGGCCAGACTGTTAGAAGGAAAACTAAGAAACAGAAATAACCTCATCATCAACAAACAGAACCTCCACTCAGAGACCCAATCTGAAAGCCAGCAACTACAAAGACGACAGGAGGATAAATCCATAAAGACGAGAAGAAACCAGTGCAAAAAGGATTAAAACACCCAAAACCAGAACACCTCTCCTCCTAAAAGGGATCACAACTCCTCACCAGCAAGGGAACAAGGTTGGAGGGAGAACGAGTGTGATGAAATGACAGAATCAGACTTCAGAAGGTGGGTAGTAAGAAACTTCTGTGAAATAAAAGAACATGTTCTAACCCAATGCAAAGAAACTAAGAAGCTTGAAAAAATATTTGATGAAATGCTAACGAGAATGGACAAAATAGAAAGGAATATAAGTGAATTGATGGAGCTGAAAAACGCAACACGAGAACTTCGTGAAGCATGCACAAGTATCAACAGCCGAATTGACCAAGCAGAAGAAAGGATATCAGAGGTCGAAGATTAACTCAATGAAATAAAATGGGAAGGGAAGAATAGAGAAAAAAGGGTAAAAAGGAATGAACAAAGTCTCCAAGAAATGTGGGACTATGTGAAAAGACCTAATCTACTTTTCATAGGTGTACCTAAATGCGACGAAGAGAATGAATCCAAGCTGGAAAATACTCTTCAGGATATTATCCAGGAAAACTTCCCCAACCTAGCAAGGCAGGCAAACATTCAAGTCCAGGAAATACAGAGAACACCACAAAGATATTCATCAAGAAGAGCAACCCCAAGGCACATAATCGTCAGATTCACCAGGGTTGAAATGAAGGAGAAAATACTAAGGGCAGCCAGAGAGAAAGGTCTGGTTACCCACAAAGGGAAGCCCATCAGACTCACAGCAGATCTCTCAGCAGAAACCCTACAAGCCAGAAGAGAGTGGGGGCCAATATTCAACATCCTTAAAGAAAAGAACTTTCAACCCAGAATCTCCTATGCAGCCAAACTAAGCTTCATAAGTGAAGGAAAAATAAAATCCTTTGTGAACATGCAAGTACTCAGAGATTGTGTC